TTGGCCCCAAAATGCCGCCTTCCTTTTAGCTATTTTTTGCTGGTTGATCGACAGTGGAAAAAGTGAACATGAGGTTGGCGGAGTAACAGGGTTAAAGATGCTCAAAGGAAGGTGAAGACAACTCCATGACACGATTTGCAAAAAAAAAAAAACCCAACAACCCACAAGCCTCTGCCTTGCTTAACCACAGAAATTCTGGGCCCGTTTGTGGCCGTTATCTGAGGACTGCCTGTCGCCTGTTCTGCAGATTTTTCACTAGGATTCCCAGAATAATTATTATTTTAATCTACACAAATAGATCTTGATTGATGAAGAGCCCTGCCACACTCTGCGGTAGCCTCATCCGCTTCTCCTTGTTTGCAATTTGGTTTGTTACCCACTTTTTGCATCAACTTCTAAACATGTTGATTATTGCAGGATGTGGATTTACATTTCTGCAGATATTGCTGTTCTTCTCAAGGCAGGTGTTTCCGTCGTCGGCTATTTTTCCCAGTGTTGGAGTTACACAACTGTCCCTTTGATCTCACGGGGCTTCCTGGACGGCAGTAATTTTTAATTTTATTACCATCGTCACCCCCGGACAAGGTATGGCCTTGTGACCTGTACCCGAAATGATTTCCCACCCAATCCAGAGGTGGAATATTTTGCTGAGTGAAAATGTAACTTCCAAGCGGCTTCCAAGCAAAACCCACCGGAGTCTTCGCAAGCCCTCTCGTCTCCTTTTCTTTCTTGCTAATTTGCTTCCTTTGGTCCAAGCGGTCGTGGATTTTACCTTGCCACCCATTAAGAGCACAGTTGTTCCTTTCTTTACGGTTCGGGGAGGGGGAAACAGACCGACAACGGTTAAGAGGGTTAAACCATCTGCCAATACAGCCCTTTAAACTAATAAATTACGTGGTCTACCGTAGAGGCTCAGGCTCAATCTGTTCTGAAGACGTCCACAATGGCAGCAGCAATAGAGAATTATCTAGCCGGCGCTCAGGGATTCCCGCGGCCGTCTCTCTCTCTCTCTCTCTCTTCCCTCCCGCCCAGAAATTTGCTATAATAGGATTCCTTGGGGGAATCTGATTGGCTGTGGCTGATTCGGAGTGACAGGACGGAGTAAAGGGATCAGGTAGATGGCGAGTTGTTGCTTTTATTGGAAGAAGATGGGGAAAGGCAAGCCATGAATTGCTTTGCTCCAAGTCTCTCTGATCCGGGCACGGCAGAGGATTGACCCCCACAGCAGTGGGAGGGGAGGGGGGGCCCTAAGAGGCCAGTTCTTGATTTGCGAGAATAGTCTGCACAGAATCCCTGGATTCCTTCAGTTGTTGCTGTTGGTTTGAGTCGGTTCCTATAAAGGAGAATATTTGTAGCTCAGGATTGAAATGAGAGGTCCTTAGCGCTCTCTGAGCTGGGTGGTTTTTCTTGCAGACGTTTCATGACCCAACTAGGTAATGTCATCAGTGTTAGAAGGGTGTGGGACTTTCTCTCTGTTTATATACAGAAACTCTGAGCTGGGTGGTTTTCTTGCAGACGTTTCATGACCCAACTAGGTAATGCGTTTGACATCTTGAAGCGTTGTCTTTCCAACTCCTACCGTCCCCCTTGCGTTCATGGATTTCCCATCTCACGTGAGAAGAACAGATTTGGACCAAATTTCTTCAGCCTCCAGGCAAGGGTTTTGGGGGTGAAATGATTCCCCCTCCCCCCTTTTCTCTTCTCTGGCAGAGAAGAACTAAGAACGCAATAAGCCTCCGGACGGCCGTCTGGACCGCGTGACATATCAGCTGCCGAAATGAGAACGGTGTTACCAAGCACGGTTTCGCTCTCTTCCCTTCCTCTTGTTTCTTTTTTTTCCTAACATGGGTCTCAAAGAAAACAAAAATTAGACAGCTTGGAGCTTTTGTTTCTATTTTTATTCTGCAGGTGTTGGGTACGACGAGACCATTTGCTGGGTGTGAGTAGGGTGCAATTAATTGGACTTGCCGGCGAGATTTTTGATCATTCCTTCGATGTTGCTTCTCGGTCTGAAAGGTGGACAGCATTTACACAAATATTACTATGGAATTAAGCGTCTTCTTGAGATGCGTCTGTATCTGGCGTAGTCATACACAAGAATCCACGCTCACCGGCACAGATGATGTCATGTAGTTGGGTAATGAAACGTCTGCAAGAAAACCACCCAGCTCAGAGCTACTGTATATAAACAGGGAGAGAGCCACACTCCTTAGCACTGATGGTATTCCCTAGTTGGGTGATGAAACTTCTTCAAGGAAGCATCCAAGCTCAGACAGCACCAAGGATCCCACAGTCATCCTCCTCTATTCCACCCACACCCTTCTAATGTAATACTGATGATGTTCCCTAGTTGGGTACTGAAACGTCTGCAAGAAAACAAGAAATCTCAGAACTACTGTATATAAACAAGGAGCAAGCCACATTCACTACCTTTGATGATGTTCCCTAGTTGGGTCGTGAAACGTCTGCAAACAACCAAGCTCAGAGTGCACCAAGGACTACAGGTTAACAACACTGGGTTTTCCTGTAGTATTTCCAGTCAGCGTCCATATGGACTAACAGGCTTCCTTCCCTCCTCTCCTATTCCGGCGTTCCCTCTTAAACCATCGTCCCTGAGCCACTGTATGCCTGTGACTAATCACAATCCATTACCTTAATGGTCCAGTTATTTTTTCTTCCTCGGCACTCCAGCTCCAAATTGTAATTGTAAATGTGTAATCCACGCATTATCTTAATTGAGCCTCCGATTATGTGGCACATACAGTTAAGAAACCGGGACGAGTAAATTTATCATTTTTGGATTGGCCCGACGAGCCTGTTCCAAGTCCCCGAAACAATGAGGCGCTTCCAGTGGGGGGACGTGCTGACCCTCAGGACTGTAATTGGCTCGATTTTCTCCCGCAAATGGAAAGGAAGACGTCTTTGGGGCATTCCTGTGTACTTAAATATTTGCCCCCGCCCCCCAACCCAAAAAAACGAGGAATGCGGAGAGAAGAAAGTTGGTAACTCTCTCCAAGGCCTTTAAATTACCGACTGAGAATCGAGACTAGCCAAAAGAACATGCATTTCCGCAAATTAGTTTGTCCTTTAGTTTATGGGCCGTTCTTCCAAAAAAGCAGACTCGGAGGAATGGCGTTTTGAAGCGTGAGGACCGGTTGCAAACCACCTTTTTTTTCAGTGCTGTTGTAACAGGGTTGTGGAGGGAAATGGGCGGTTCAGAAATAGAAAATATAAATGCAGAAATAAAGAAAATAAAACTCAGAACAGTCGCTTATACGACTGGTTGTTAGTATCGGTAACCCTCTGTACCGCTGTCTCTGCAGGTGCTGAATTACTTTGATGGAAGGAAGGAGGGAGGGAGGGAGGATGGATGGATGGATGGATGGAGAGATAAGTAGGTGGGTAGTGGGTGAATGGATGGATGGATAGATGGATATACACACACACATGCACACACACATATACATCCATCCATCCACTTTATCTATTTATCTATCTATCTATATCTATCTATCTATCTATCTCTTATCTATCTATCATCTATCTATCTCTATCTATCTATCTATCTATCTATCTATCTATCTATCTATCTATCT